ATAAGATTCCTTGAGGCAGTAGTTGTATAGTGTAGAAAGGGCAGGCGCCAGTTCAGGCACGCATTTTTTCAAGACAATGGCTGGTATCCCGTCTCACCACTAGCCTTGTTGGGGTCTAAATTGGAGATAACGCCCAGTACCAAAGATGGGGTTATGTTTAACCAACTCAATATGGCCTCAGTTCTAAGAGGGAAGTCGAGTATGGGTACACCGGAAGAGTCGAGCGTCGAGTTGAATGAAAATTTCCGAGCAAAGCATTCAGCCTTGTCGGTAGAGGAGGTCAGGACTTCGAACTGGTTGAATATAGGAGGTATAGAGAGTTTGCAATTGTTCAATACGCTCTTGCAGAGACGCCAATAATCTTTGGAGCCAAATTTGCGAGATGCAATACGTTCCTTCATCCGAGCCGCAAATAGTGACTTAGCATCGTTGAGGACACGCTTACATTCGTTACGGGCGGAGGCAAAGAGACGTCTATTGCAGTCAGACATGTCGCTACGGAATAGGTGGAAGTAGTGATTCCTATGGGCGGTGGCGGCTGAGCAAGCAGCCGAGAACCAGGAGGAGGAGCGCGACTTGACCCTATATTTTCTTGATGGGATGAAAGCGTCGATTCCAGCTTTAACCCAGGAAGAGACCTCAGGAGCAAATTCTTGGACGGGGAGCTTAAAGACTCCATCCCAGGGGACATCGCGGAGGAAATCACGGAACGCGTCCCAGTCAGCTCGTTGATAGTAGAACGAAGTTCTAGTGGCAGGAGGTTCTTTATAGGGGGTGGAGTTAAAGGAGATGTTAAGTGATACTACTGCATGATCAGAGTTACCAAGAGGGCAGAGTTGCGAGGCCCTGCAGGATTCGGGGATGGAGGTAAAGCACAGGTCGAGTAGAGAGGCTTTACCTTCCCGGTTGAAGGCAAAACGAGTGGGGAAGTTAACTGTGTGAGGGAATGGGAGATTGAGAAATTGAGCGTTTGAATGCCTGCGTTGTCAGTAGTAGCATTCTTAAGCCACAAGGTGTGATGGGTGTTAAAGTCTCCAAACACAAAAATGTGAGCAGATGGGTGGAGGGAGAGAGCCTTGTCTATGCTGTTAGAAATGCTATCGAGTATCTCACAGTCTTGAGAGGATGGAGAGCGGTAAAGGAAGAAGAGATAGCTTACCGCATTGAGGAGAGAGAGAGAGTGAGAGTCGGAGACACATGTATGACTGGTCAGGCGATTCGAGAGAGGACTCTCTGGCCAGAGGGAGATGTTCCTTGACGTAGACACCAAGACCGTGCATGTGGGTTAGAGAGTCTTTTCTGAGGAGAGGAAGATAGCCGGGGATCGAGAGATCAGAAGAGGGGATAGACGAGACAAGGTTTGTTTCACAGAGAGCCAGTATATCCGGGCTGTTTGTAGTGGGGAAAGATTCCAGACTGCAGAAGTTTGTCCTAATGCCCCGGATGTTGGAGAACGAATTGTTGAGGGGTTTAGGTGTTTTTTGAGAGGCTGGTTTAGGGTTAATCTTTCGGTTTTTGTAACTCATGTTGAATTTTGTTTGTAAGATGAGAAGGCCCGAAGTAAAAGAAACAGACATTTTCGACCGTGACGCGGGCAGAGAGGAGTTGGCAAAATCTGCATCATTATGTGGCCTCAGGGCTGCCCACCGGAGGTGACTGCAGGGACATCTTTCCATGCGCGACATGGCACTACAAACACCCCGGTATTATACAACTGTTGATCAGAGCAGCCGCTCAAGACGCTATGCAAGAGTTAGGGCTCCTAATTACCAGTCGGAAACAGCAACCAAAGAACTGACAACCGTGTACCCTCAGAATGAAGAGGTGATGCCACAGACTGCACACATCACGGGAGAAACAGAGCTGCACTAATACAGAGGCCGGAGAGAGAAAGAGTACCGGGAACCCCTTCCTAGACAAGAAACAAGGTGTAAGCCTCTACTCATGTCCAATTTATTACATTGGAATCGTAAATACGATCCAATTCATATATATATATATATAATTTCGTATTTGTCTTTTGATAAAATGGCCGGGATGTTTAATATGAGAACGGGTAATAAAAAGTGGGGTTCAAATTATAGTTATGACTTTCGTCAGTCTATTGGGATCGCTTCTAATTCCAGATGTGATGTGTCACATTGAAATCCTTGCTTTGTGTCGTTTTCGTAAGTCACAAAGTCTGGGTATTTTACGGTGACATTCGATCTGTTTTAACGCGACTTCTTGGAAAAATTACCTCTTCACATATTAAAAATTCAGTCATATTAATACACGACATGAAAGTATTTTCTCTGATATTCTAGCACCATCTTTTAGCTAATATGGGCGCAACACCGAGGAGTTAGAACTTTCGCTTTCTAAACCCAGGTTCAAACCCTATCATGGTCGATTTGTCAGGAATATGACTTGATAACATCTGCCTGTGGAAGTTATGCCATGTAGAAACGGATAGACGGATCTATTCCCTCGATGGTTGTTTTAGCACGAAGTCACAAGTCATCGTGAGCGAGACTTTGAGTACACTGGTATTATTCAAAATGTTGATCCAGACGGTACGCTCTCACCCAGAAACTAATTAAGATCTGCTCAGCATAGTTACAGTATAAATCACAGGTTGGCTCTGTGGGTGTTGAAGAAGCACAAATGTGTCTGAACAGGCGTTTGCGCAACAGGGATTAGCTAATCGTACCAGCAGATAAGCATTCTCAGGAAACAAGCTTGTAGCTATTCATTTTCTTTTAATCATTACACAAGGCCAATAAATGCGGAAACTAAATATACAGATATATGGTCGGAAAACTCACGTTAAACTGGCCTTGTGTCACAACCCGCTCTGTGGGGTGCTCGAGTATTTACAAGTAGAATTACTCCATATCTGATAAGATGCTGATACTAAGTCTTCCTCCTCACTCGAATAAATTTTCATTTTTTTCTTTTTATGCAATATTATATTATATTATTTCTACATTATTTTTTTTACTACTAATTAGCAGGGCTACTCGGCGTTGCCCATGTATTATATCAAAATAATACCAGAAATATACAAGTTTATGAACTACAATATTAATAATAATAATATTGATGTTTAAAACAAGACGTCATTTAATTTATTATAACAACGACTCTTACAATTTGATTTCTATCATTACATAAAAAGATATATTACTGTCAGTAAATAAAATAATTGATGATAGTTATCAATGACCGATTAAAAGTTTTGTGATGATAACGCTCTTCAGAATCTAGATAAGAATAGCATTAACATTATGAAACTTTTAGCTGCTCATCGATAAGTATCATGAACTTATTTTATTTTTTTTGATAATAATTATGTCCCTAGATATCTATGGATCAATGATCTACCATGTCTTGAAGGGATACAGCATGAAGAAGAATAATAAGATTTAGAAGAAAAAATAACTAGAATAATAAGATGAAGATTTAGAAGAATTAGAATGATAACAAGATGAATAAGAATTAGAGGAATTAGAAGATATAGAATTAGCATAAGATGAAGTATCATATAGAAATAAAGTATCGCTACCGACACTTGAGTTTGAACATAGATCGCCAGTGAGCAAACGCAGGCGATCCCATTATTGAATTAAGTAGACCACGTGACCATAGAGGAAACGCATATATGGAATATAGCGTGACGTCTAACTCATAGTCATTTCTATTCTATCCTCTATTACTACACGGATCACCATTTCTAGTCTATCCTCTATACTATACAGATCGCTTTTCTACCTTATTCACTATACGGATCACTATACGAGCGAATATTATCGAGCAAGCACTATTATTGCGAGTGATATTCGAAGGCGTCTGATACCAGTATTGTTCAACGGCATTACTATAGCTGTATCTACGATTACAAAGGCTCTACTACAACGAACATTGCGAAAGTGACGACGAGTATTCGTTGGCATCTCAGAAGTGGCAATGAGTGTTCATTGACATCATAAAAAAAGATGAATTAGAAGTAGATGAAGATTTAGAAGAAAAATTAGAAGTCCAAGAAGATGAAGTTTTTGAAGAATTAGAAGATGAAGAAGACTTAGAATAAGGAGAATTAGAAGAGGAAGACGATCTCGAAGAGAAAGATGAAGAATTTAGGAAGAGGAAGAAGAACTTGGAATTGGAAGTAGATGAAGATTTAGAAGATGAAGTTTTTGAAGAAGAAATAGATGAAGAATAATTATAATTTGAAGACTTAGAAGAGGAAGAATATCTCGAAGATGAAGAATTGAGGAAGAGAAAGAAGATTTAGAAAGGAAGAACTTAGAATTGGAAGAAGATGAAGATTTAGAAGAACTTAGAATTCCAAGAAGATGAATTTTTTTAAGAATAATTATAATTTGAAGAAGATCTCGAAGAGAAAGATGAAGAATTTAGGAAGTGTTATACCAGAACATTACCTATTCTATTGTAATAGACTCTCCCACACATAAGTAGTAGTAGCGGTCGCCAGTTGAGCTCAGTGGACTTGTGAGTCAGTCGATGTCGGACATTGAAGTATCAACTATCACAACTAGATTGCTGCATCATTAACTCTTATTTCAAGTTCCTAACGTTTTGTACGTCGGACCCTTTTAGGACCGACTTATTGAAATACAAGCCTCCACTGTGAAAACTACTTTACAACAAAGAGGAAGATGATTTAGAAGACTTGGAAGAAGATGAAGATTTAGAAGGTTTAGAATCTGATATTACTATTGCAGATATTCGACTTACGTTGGAAAGGCTTATGATGCGGTTTAAATGGAAACTCCTTCATAATTCGCGAACTACCAGTTGATCCGTTACCAGTGTTTTGTCTTTTTAAGTCATCATTTTTACGATTGTAAAATATTTTTTTCTGGAAGTGTGATTAGAATACTCCTTGGACCTCCCCTTAACGACGAACCTGCCTGCAGGTATTAATAATAAAGAATAAGTAAACGAAAGAAATTAAAAAATACAAATAAGTATATAGAATATCAGATATCCGGATTATGGCCACATCATGTTGAAACACCGGTCCCCGTACGATCACTTAAGTTAAGCAACGTCGAACCTGGTCAGTACTTAGACTGGTAACCGCTTGAGAAGAATAGGTTCTGTATGCTTGGATATGCGGATGCTTTAATGTATAAAGGACGGCTCGAAATTTTTAATCGGAATGCGGAGTTGCAATTCTCATTGGGTACTCGGACATTTAACCGGCGGACATTTGACCGAATGGACATTTAGCCGAAAATGTAATGGCGTACTTACATGTATGTCACACTCTTTATCGTAATATGCTACATATATTTATAATTATATACTGTATTAATTTGTAATTTTTCGCTTTTTATTTTTTTTATTTTATTTTATTTTTTTTTGACGGGATTTAAAAAAAAATCTATTTTGCATGTATTATATTTTACTTCAAATATTACTGTAAGATAAGTATTTTGAGAAAAAAGCACATTTAACTATAGCGAAAATCTTAACCTTTTACGAAATGAAAGATTTTTTAAATTTCGCTTTTAATGATCATTATCTTAAAGGGATGAACTAGCTTTTATCTCAATGTTAAATACGAATTTAAACAATTAGGTGCTACTTTTACCCAAATACACTCAAATGTTTTTTGAATATTAATTTCACTGGATAAATATTGAAATAAGAAAACTTAACTTTAAATTTAGATTTATTAATTAAATCACTTGAAATTCAGTAGTAATTATTAGTCCTATTCTACCTTATAATACACCTAATTAAAATACTTAAAGTATTGCTTGTTACTATTTTTACTTGTACTTTTTCGGTGAAATGTCCGTCGGCCAAATGTCCGTCTACGTTTCTCTTGGGTTCGTTATATCCTCTTACGCGCAAATACCATTGGGAAAGGTATGAATCTACCTCTTTTCACCCAGCTGTGGGTTAATTAGTAAAACTTGTAACACGAAAATTATCTAAACAAAATTGTGTACAAAATATTTAGATTTTGGCATTAAATAACCTATAGAGGTGTTGATATTCCGACATTCTCTATGGCATTAAGGCGAAAGAAAATGCAACAGCCAAGACAAGAATTTGAGCTCCTTCCGACGATTCCTTTTTCCGCGCTGATAACTATTATGCTAGAGGCACATTTATAGCAGGCGTATGTTGGTATTTAATATATATATATATTGCGATGGATAAATTGTCGTCTAAATTACGCAAAAATTAAAATAACACTGGCATCTCATTTTCACAGATATATTTACCAAAATTACACAGAAATATTTCAAAATACTAAAGAATAAATTTATTCCATAAAATCGCCATTGGCTTCAACTACGGTCTACAGATGGCTTTGGAATCTCCTGCATCTCTTCTGGACGGTCTCCTTGTTTAAGTTGATGAATGCTGCCATAATCCTTGCTTTCAGTTCATCTTTGGTGTTACAAGGAGTATTGTTGGTCTCTCACTCAATTGCGCTCCACACATGATAATCAAGGGGGTTGCAGTCTGGGGAGTTACGTGGCCAGATGTAAGGGGTGATGTGATTGCAGAAATTGACTGATAGACATGACTGAGTTCTCTTGCTTGTGTGGAATGCAAGCAGAGTCCTGATGCCAAACATAGGTTCTTCCAGCAGCCACCCTCTTGACCCAGGACAGAACTACCTCCTCAATCAACTCGATGTAGGCCTCCGTGTTGAGTCTGACGCTCTGTAGGAAGATGAATGGAGGCATAACGTCGCCATCACTAGTGATCACTCTTAACACTTTCGTAATCACCATTATAATCATACAACGCTTTCCGGAATTTCCGGCGTGAATGCCAAGCAGTACAGCATACCGTTTCCAAATTTCTAGTGGGGTGAATTGCGTCATGGGGCTCTTTTTCTCACAGACTGTGCCCAACTGACCCTACTATACTGTATAATCGACAAAATAAAAAAGAAACAAAACAATTCGCTTGCGCAAAATTAAAAATATAAAATAGCGACAATTTACCCATCACACCCTTTCTCTCTCTCACTAATATATATATATATATATATATATATATATAATGAAATGGATTAATTCCGACAATTATATAATATATTTTCTGTTTATACGTTATTTTTATAGATACAATTTAATTAAAAAGCAAAGCATTTTATAGATACAATTTAATTAAACAGTATTTACCGGCCTGAAATTTTGATATATATATATATATATATATTGGATGCTTTGGTACACATCATCAGTGGTTTTTCTAGCTGAGGTTCATTAGGGTTTTCGGGTTTTTCAACATCATACCCCCTCTCCACGGTGACACAGCTAATACTGATCGGGTATCGACTTGTGTACCTTCTGTTAGCTAATTTTTCCATCTTTACAATATATACATATATATATATATATATATATATATATATATATATGCAATTAAGAAACAAACACAGTTGTTTTAGTAATAGAGAGGAATAATAGCTTCATTAAAGTCATCAGACAAACAATGTAAGAGAATATTTTCTAAGCTAAAGATTATAAAAACAAGGTAAAGAAATTCGCTGCCTGAGGAGAATTTTGGAATCCTACATCTTGCTGTCTATTGAAAAAGAATTTGTTTGATGAATTCGATGCAGAAGCAATTATTGGCATGATTCAAACAATCACTCGCTAAGCAAGAAAATCTGAACTTTAAGTGAAATGGTCTCATTACACGAGGGGGGGGGTAAGACAAGAAGACACGGGCTAAAAGAAAAGGACGATAAGCAACAATCCGAAAATATATCAGTAATGACAAACCAACAATCCGAAAAGCAACAATCCGAAAATATATCAGTAAGGACAAAGCAACAATCCGAAAAGTAACAATCCGAAAATATATCAGTAATGACAAAGCAACAATCCGAAAATATATCAGTAAGGACAAAGCAACAATCCGAAAAGTAACAATCCGAAAATATATCAGTAATGACAAAGCAACAATCCGAAAAGATATCAGTAATGACAAACCAACAATCCGAAAAGCAACAATCCGAAAATATATCAGTAATGACAAACCAACAATCCGAAAAGCAACAATGCGAAAATATATCAGTAATGACAAACCAACAATCCGAAAAGCAACAACCCGAAAAAAAATCAGATGAAAGCAACAATCCGCAACAATCCGAAAATATATCAGTAATGACAAACCAACAATCCGAAAAGCAACAATCCGAAAATATATCAGTAATGACAAACCAACAATCCGAAAAGCAACAATCCGAAAATATATCAGTAATGACAAACCAACAATCCGATAAAAGACAAACCAACAATGCGAAAATATATCAGTAATGACAAACCAACAATCCGAAAAGCAACAATCCGAAAATATATCAGTAATGACAAAGCAACAATCCGAAAAGTAACAATCCGAAAATATATCAGTAATGACAAACCAACAATCCGAAAAGCAACAATCCGAAAATATATCAGTAATGACAAACCAACAATCCGAAAAGCAACAATGCGAAAATATATCAGTAATGACAAACCAACAATCCGAAAAGCAACAATCCGAAAATATATCAGTAATGACAAACCAACAATCCGAAAAGCAACAATCCGAAAAGCAACAATGCGAAAATATATCAGTAATGACAAACCAACAATCCGAAAAGCAACAATCCGAAAATATATCAGTAATGACAAACCAACAATCGAAAATATATCGACAAACCAACAAAAAGCAACAATCCGAAAATATATCAGTAATGACAAACCAACAATCCGAAAAGCAACAACCCGAAAAGCAACAATCCGAAAATATATCAGTAATGACAAACCAACAATCCGAAAAGCAACAATCCCGTAATGAAAACCAAACCGACAAAAATATATCAGTAATGCAACAACGAAAATAAAGCAACAACAATCCGAAAAGCAACAATCCGAAAATATATCAGTAATGACAAACCAACAATCCGAAAATATATCAGTAATGACAAACCAACAATCCGAAAAGCAACAATCCGAAAATATATCAGTAATGACAAACCAACAATCCGAAAAGCAACAATCCGAAAATATATCAGTAATGACAAACCAACAATCCGAAAAGCAACAACCCGAAAAGCAACTATCCGAAAATATATCAGTAATGACAAACCAACAATCCGAAAAGCAACAAATATATCAGTAATGACAAAGCAACAACCCGAAAAGCAACAATCCGAAAATATATCAGTAATGACAAACCAACAATCCGAAAATATATCAGTAATGACAAACCAACAATCCGAAAAGCAACAATCCGAAAATATATCAGTAACAAACCAAAACCAACAATTTGAAAATATATCAGTAATGACAAAACCTACAATGACATTATTTGCTACCTACAGCAACAAGAAAATATACTCAGACGAGTTTGATTTTAACGACAAAAACAATCCACACAGAAAAAACTCTCCGAAAAGCAAAAATCGAAAATATAGAAATGACCCAATAATTTGACAAGCGTTTTTATTTTTTTTTAATCAGGTTAAAATTAGTGACCACCCTGTTCCTAAAGGAAGTGTCTCTTGAAACCGCACCTTCAATAGGATGGCCGTCAAGTAATGATAACCAACTGAGGATTTGTATTGCCGTATTTGACGGCATATAAAACACTTTTTTTTTTTTTTTTTTTTTTTTTACTAAAAATATCTTTTTAAATTTCCCTGCGTCTTGTATGCCATATGTAGGTTTAAGATTCGCGATAGTCGGCCAAAATTAGCTACCTGGCAACACCTATTAGTTTAGACTTTAGAGTAACTTTCATATACCTTGTCATTATTTAAAAGTCTATTATGCAGATTAAAAGTGTTACGATTGATAATATTCATTATATTAATTTTATCACGTTTAATATTAGTACTTTGTTTCACTAAAATTACATGCAATAAATTCAAATTATATATTTGTAAAATAAATTTATTTCATTAATATTTTTTTGCGATAACTCCCGGTTGCATTGGTATAAATACAATCAGAATTTCTATATCCTAATTATTCTACTAAGACATGGAGAACCTCGAGGTGGTGTAATGGTTAGCATGCTTGTCTCGCTAAAGCAATTACGACTGAGTAGGAGTTCGATCTTCACTGGGTGCCCCATACTTT